GGTTGGACTAGATGACCTCCAAGATCCCTTCCCACTCTGTTCAACCGTTAAAGGGCACCATCTTGAGAGAGAACCGGGCGAGAGCTTGCGAATCCATGGGCTGAGAAAAAGGGACTGACCCAAAGTCACCCAGCCATTTTTTCATGCATGTGGGACTAGAACTCGCTGTCTCCTGGTAATTGGCCCAAAGTCAGGCACCCAGCTTTCATGACAACAGTCTTCCGGTCTCTATTTGTGTCAGCAGCATTGGCCCAAAGTCACACACTTGTCTTCTTTCCCAGAGTTGTAGGTTCTTCAGCAGGGCGTGTGCGCGTGTGTGTGCGTGTGCACGCGCCAAGAGAATAGGATGGGAGGTTTGGCTGAAAAAAAACACCCCCCGATCCGTCCTTAGGGTGTGTCGGGTGATCCCCTACTCTGAGCTCCTCGGGCCTCTCCTGTTTGCCACCACTCCTTAACCACCACCCCTCCGGCAGACACGGCTACGCTCGCTGGCAGGACATTCAGAACGACAACCAGTTTGCCATCATCAACGAGCCCTTCAAGAGTGAAGCCAACAAGGGGAACTTCTTGGAGATGAAGAACAAGTTCCTGGCCAGAAGGTTCAAGGTGCGAATCCTCTTAGGGGAGCAGAGGAAGGGAGCAGGCCTCCTCAGGTTCAGAGGGAGGAAATTTTTTTCTGCCTGCCATCTCCTCACCATTTCATCCCTTGTTTCTTCGAATAGAGCAGAATAGAAAATACAGAATGGAGTAGAGTAGAGTAGAGTAGAGTAGAGTAGAGTAGAGTAGAGTAGAGTAGAATAGAATAGAATAGAAAAGAAAATAAGAGAATAGAATAACTTTATTCTCACATTGAATGTACACTAATTGGCATACATTAAAAATGAACTGTGAAACATCATTAAAATGTGAAAATAAAACAATTCCAGCTCCTGGAACAGGCCTTGGTGATCGAAGAGCAGCTCCGCCGGGCCGCCTACCTGAACATGACGCAGGACCCCAGCCACCCGGCCATGGCCCTCAACACCCGCTTTGCCGAGGTGGAGTGCCTGGCCGAGAGCCACCAGCATTTGTCCAAGGAGTCTCTGGCCGGCAACAAGCCCGCCAACGCCGTCCTGCACAAGGGTAAGAGGCGGGCAGGTAGGCGGGCGCGGCGAGGACGGTCCACGTGACTCC